AGACATCAATGACACGCCCAGTAAGTATAGTCAAGTGCTGATAATGAAAGCTGATGTAGGAAGACTGTGTGACTTCGGCAACTTTCAAGTCACAGAGATGGTCAGGTACAGAGTAGGGTAACCCGAGCATCAGGCTTACCCAGCGATCAGCACCAAATATTTGCCAGAATGCAGCATCCAGGGATGCAGACTTTCGATGGGTTTTATGAATCCCAGCCAGTTGCAAGCGAGTGATAGCGGTACGAAAGACAGACCATGCACGGGACGGTTGAAGTGCACTGAGGAGACACAGACCTAGAGCAATTATGCATTAGAAGTCATATACATCACCGGTGAAGTTGTTCTCGTTCATGATCCACTTTTCGACAGATTTCAAATACCGATCATGATCACCAGAGCTCAGAGCGAAGCAAACAAGCAGACTCCCGAGCAAAGATGGATTGGCGGTGCATATGGCTCGTGTCGCAAAACTCTCCAACGTCTTGTCCTCGCTTTCACCCCATCCCAGGCCAAAGGACTGGCGCCAAGTTTCCCACCACCTGCTTCGGCTTTGGAATATGCTCTGAATTTCCGCGTCCGAAGGCAATACCAACAGCATCTGAACGAGAGCGGCTTTACTTGACTCGTTGTGATCTGCATTCTGTCGGGAGTCGGGTACAAGACAAGTATCACCGTTGCTCGCGATATGTATGGTGCGGCCCATCTAGGTCTTGTTAGCTTGTTGTTTCTGAAACATCCAAGAGAGCGCTTACTCGGAGATTATTGAACAGCTTCATAACTGGTGCATCCTCGCTTTGGATAATTCGGGGGTCGTTCACGGCTTGACGTAGCTCTGTGTCCGCGCCCGAAATGGGAGGCAGAAGGGTCGATATTGCGGACGAATGGGGCAATTGGACCCACTGACGAAGCTGGTCAAGCGCATTGAAAAAAGACAGGTGAGAGTTGGGTACATCCTTGTGCTCGGTGTGTTCAGAAGCAAGTTGGGCACCACCACAATCGGTTTGAATATCACCCTGAGGGACACATGATTCACCACGTTTGGCACAGTTGACGCAGAATTTAGAGTCCGAGGTGTACGAACACCGAACTTTACGACACCGGCCTTCTGTGCATGTTAGAGAAGAATGTCCTAGAACTTGCTTGGGTCAATCATGACTCACACGGGAGACAACTACGCGTGCCCTTTCTCATCCGCTTCGGCATATCTGTGTTGCCACGTACAGTGCGTGGCCTCGGACAATTTGCAACGGCTCTGATGTTGCTGCAGGCGCAGGTCGAGGTGCGGGGCACTTGATTGCTGAGTCATCAGCGCTGAACCGAGTTGACGTTGTTTGCCTCAGTGGGACCTCTGATTGGCTTCACTACCTTCTCTCTGCTCACTTTCGTCCGAATCGAGACCCACTTGCTCGGACGAAACCCAGCAGGAACTATAAGTGACTGCTGGGTAGAACAGACTCTCTAAAAACCGTGCAAAAGCCACTGCTTTCGACATCAACCTCCTCAGAACCTCTGGTCTCTCGTCGTCAATCTTCTCAGTTGACCCGTCACCATGGCCGTGGAAGTCATGACATCGCTCGAAGTCAACTGCGCAACTCGCACCGTCCTGAATTCGTTACTATGCCCACTAAGAGGCGGACCATTCGACCACACTGTCTTTCCATTCGTACCCATCGAATCAGTATTCATTTACCGACACCCGGATTCAATGAGCTCTAATCTGTCCGACTTTCTACCTTCATGGCGTTTGCGGCAAGCAATGGGCCACCTGCTGGACTACTACCCGCATCTTACCGGCCGTTTCCAACGGAATGTCACAGATAGAACATTCGAGTTGGCGAAATTTGGCTCAGGTGCGCAACTCTTACTGGCATCAAGCAACACCACCCTGGATGCCATTGCCAGTCTGAACACGAATACTGGTCGACTTACTGTTGAGAATCTGCCCGGCAGCGGCGAACAATTGACACCCCCATTCAACGGAACGATCGAGGGTGTCTGCCGAGATCCTGTACTTGCAATTCAGCATACAAGGTTCCAGTGTGGTGGCGTTGCGCTCGGGATTAGGGTGCACCATATGGCTTGCGATGCCTATGGATTCTTCCAGCTCGTTCGAGACCTGGCCCAGATCTACCGAGATCTGTCAGGCACAGACATCGACTACCTGAACCTCAATGCGTCGCTCTTGAGCAGCCCACCAGAAATTCATTCGTATCTGTCGGATCCACACTCCATATCGGCAGAGGAACGGAAGACTGCCCTGCAATATCCCCAGTCTCTGTTCTACATAGAGAGAGAGTCCAACCCATCAGGCAATGCGAAGCCCGCCGTTGACTTACGGCAAAGAACAGAGCCTCCAATTATTGGACGCATGCTGAGGTTCTCCGGCAGTGATCTGATGGCTTTGAAGGCTCGAGCGTCGGGCCCAAATCCGGAAAATTGGGTTTCGACCTTTGAAGCTCTAACAGCTTACCTCTATCAACTCGTCTACAAGGCACGCATTCAGTATCTCGTACTCAGAGGAGCTTCCGCCGAGTCGGCGACGTCCAAAATTTGGACGGGGCTCTGGGCTTCACTCAACGTACGAAGCAAAGAGCGTCTGAATTTACCACCAAGGTACTTCCCGAATGCGGTACACGCCACCTGCATGCAAGGATCTCCCCAAGTATTGGCTCATGGCAATCTTTGCGATGTGGCACGATCCATTCATGATATGATACGATCAGAGCACAAGGAGCGCATTCTGCATACAGCCAGATGGATTGCAGCACAGCCTGACAAAAGTTTGTTGAGGGTCAACTTCGAATTTGGAAACGGAAACTTTACTGTTAGCCAGTGGTCGGGGTTTGATATGTACAACGGAGTCTCTTTTGACGTCGATGGGAGCGGGAAACCTGTACATCCGAGTCTGGTGGCTCCGCCTTTCACTGAGATCTCGCGCGTGGATGGCCTGGCTATGATTTTGTCTTCAGAGGAGACCGTGGAGAGAGTCGCCAGCACGAAGGCTTGCCCAAGCTCCGATCTACCGAGTGCCATCGATGTCAATTTGACCTTAAGCGAGCCATTGTGGGAGATTCTGGACAGGAGCCCCGACTTCCGAAGGCTGTATCGCTGACCACGGTTCATCAATAGGTTTACACACAGAGCAGCGTTTGGCGTTGTCAATTTCCGATATCCTTACTACAAGTACTACAAGTGGTGAATGACACTAGTCCAGACGCCAGACAAGCTTTTTCTGTTCAAAGAGAAGATCTAGCATAGTAATATTGAGAATATCTAGCCTAATTAATTCAATACTTAGAAGTAATCGCATCATACTCCGACTGCGTTAACCGCAAAACAGAGCCATGTTTCAACCCCGCGGGGAAAGAGGCCGAACTTGATTTCTCCCAAGAGCCCGAATCAATATCGTTTGTCTGAAACGGCACGTATTGTTCGTAGTTGTCAAGCAACAGATGGTAAACTGCGTTGTTTTCGACGTCAGGGAACGAAGCCGGCCCCTCGGACAGCGGGTTATCCCCAATGTACCCTGGGACCCGAGTCCATTCTCCGAAAAGACCGCCTGTGGTCGTCTCCTGGTAAACCTGGTTAACATTTTCGTCCTTGATGAACCGAGCGTAGGCCCCGGGTGTGCCGAGATCCAGGAATTCTTGGTCAATGAGGGGAATTCCATCCAGAGCGACGTAGTCAGCCGGGGAGCTGAACGTCACAAAGTCTTTGGTTGTGCTATAGCGGATCCGATCCAGGTTGGCAGTGCCAGTATGATCCGAGTCGGTAGAGCTATAATGGCGGGATGCCCAGAAGACATAGTATTGCTGCTCGTCGTCATTCCAGACAGCAGAAGGTGCCCAGGCCATGCCCGCAGTGTCATCTTCAATCCTGTTGACAAAATATTAGAGGCAAAGCCATTTGATCCAGGCGGTTTAGTTTACTTACGTTGTCAATGTAGGTTCAGACCAATCTACAAGATTAGTGGTCTTCCAAATTATCAATCCACGACTACCGCGTCTGGTGGCTTCATCCCAGGAAAAGCCGTCGGCGTTAATGTCCAAGTCTGATGGGTGGGATTTGTTAGTGAATTTGTTTTCACGTCCCGACATAGGCTTCATACCTGTTGCAATCATGAAATACTCAGACCTGGCCGTGTTTGAAGCAAGAAACACATCTCTTACTGCGCGTGTGCCGACTGTCGATTCCAGTATCGAATTTCCTCCATTAAGGGATTTGAACGCCAACGGGTCAGAAGCATCGGAGAGATACCAAAACACCTGAGGGTTTGCATCACTAAAGGTAGACAGGAGATAGCCAACGTAAGAGCCCCCATCTTGGCGCGGTATAGGGCCGCCCGATGAAAGATGAAGTATGCTCGCTACAGCGAGGACGGAAGAGAAGATGCGCATGTTGTCGCCGCGTGTCTTTGAGATGGATCCGTATTATAGTGTAAGGCTTTGATAGTATTCAACTAGTCCAACAAGGTAAAACCTGGCGGATTCGACGAGACCCCTGATCCTTTATAAATTACACGGAGTTTGGCCATTGGGTCAATCCCTGCCTTTCTGTATCACTGAATGGCTTCATGATTCGCGGACATTTTGCGAGAGGGTTGGTCTTGGCAGTGGAGTCCTCCACCGGAGAACTCACAGAACTGGAGATGCGGGGGAATCGCCAATGCATCTACTATGATATACGGAGTACACAACCCGACATCTGTCTCGGTAAAATCGAAGGTATAAGCCTAGGGAATAACCCCAAACGTCACGAAGCCCTGGCCTCCGCTGCCCTTAGGGCCCCGAGATCATGGATACTCCCAAAGGTTCAAGCCATAAGACCGTCAATCATGTAGTACATAATGTTATATATATCATATTACTGATATTGTGTGAAATAATACAAATATAAGTGTACTGGACATTAAAATGGAGATGCAATGCAAAGGAAGGGTACTAACCATAGAGCTACAAGTTGGTGAAAATAGTCCTGGAGCCAGAATTTCGCCATCCGTTGGTCCTATGGGGTAGTGGTTATCCCACCGGATTTTGATGGACGATAATAATACATATCGGCAAGGAGTCAAAAGCCTTCCGGTAACGCCGGTTCGAATCCGGCTAGGACCTTGGTTTTTTTCGTATATTTTTTTTCTACGATCACTCCATATCTGATGTATCAACTCAATCAGCTTCCGGCATGGATAAGTAACTAGTGGCTATAATTATATAGTACATTCCAGGTTCCAACTCTGGCTCAAGCTCTCACGATCCATGGGACAAATCAGTGGGGTATGAGCCGCTCTTGGTGCAAGCAACCCTAATTAATGGGTCGTGTTTTGGGAGGGTCTTCAGAACATAGTCTTTGCCAGAAGTAATTAATACCTTCTGGATACCCTACTGGGAAAACTGAATAGCCGCAACTCGATGCGATTCCTCAGGCTAGACTACTCCGCACCAGGAACAGCTCTCTCAATTGCTCAAATTCACGCAAGGTTGAAGTAATTATAGACACCAATACCGAGGCAGACTAGCGTCCCTCCAACCAGCGCTCTGAAGCTCTCCGTCGAAAGTGATCCGTCCATAAAGCACATAAAATTCGTTGCAATCTCAGCGGCATCGACCGCTATTCCAGCCAAAAGAGCCCGTTTGAGCTCACGGTTGGGTCGTCCCTGGGCAGCGGGGATCAGAACGAGGTGACCCCCGAAGGGCGAAAAGATCGGAGGAACGATGGTTTCCCCCGGAGGCAACTTACAGGACCCTTGGTGCCGGATGGTTCTTGGGCTGTGTAGAGCAACGCCCCGATAACAATGTCTCTAACCGCGACCAAGTTTGTCAAGACGGCTGCGTATGGTCCATATGGAAGGAAAAGAGTGGAGGACGCGAGTTTCGGGGCGAACAGAAAAGCCGAGCCGCCCACGATGCGGGCCATGGAGAGAAGGGTTATGGATGTCATATTTTAATCGTTTGATTCCTCGTCTTCCAAAAAGATAACGTTGTTATGTCTTCACAGGTGTATTTCAAAGCAACTCAGAAACGCTGTACGAAGAAAAAAAATGATCTTCCCCGAATCACTTTCAAGCCCATTGCCTAAGTATACATAGTCTCCCGAATCTTCGGAAGATCCCTTGGATTGCTCGGAGATCCTTCGGGTTGATCCCTTCGGCGCTCTCCAAAGAGTCGACCTCTGTGAGCCACAGCCTAGTAATTGACCTTGGTTAGTTAGGGATTAGTATAAATACCAAAATACTCTTATACAAAGACCACAGAAACTACTTCATAATATTTTTACTTATTGACTTAGCTACCCAATTCAACCAGTTGAGTTCCCAAGGTAGGTCTAGCTGGATCAGAGTGATTATTATCTTCTAGCACATGGTTACCGAGTGATGTGCTGTCCTAGCGCAGCTTAATTGCTGTAAAGCATCAGGAAGGCTCATGCGCTTGGAGATGTCCTCTTTCATTAACTCATTCGCAATCGACTTCAAATGCTTCGCACAAAGGCTTTGCTTCGCATATTTCGTAATCTCTAAAGAAGCCTTCCACAAGCCCATACGTCGCTCCCTCGGCGCACGTTGAATGAAAGCTCAAATGGGGATATTTCATCCTGGATTTCCGGCGCACACCATTCACGGGCTATGCCACCGATGCCACCGATACCACTGATATCGATGAGCATTGCATTTCCCCTTGAGTCCAAGACAACATTTGAAGACTTTTGTATCCATATGAGTATTCTCCGTCCTGTGAAGGCAATTTAGGGTGGGTGCGATCTGGAGAGGCCACTGCTCCTAGGAGCAATTGGGAAGGTAGCCGCTATTGAGTATCTGCTTAAGGGAGCCGCCGCTATAAGATTCTAGCAGGATACCAGTCACGATCTGTTGTGGGTCCACTGTCGTCGATCTTCCTGCTCTGATTTAAACTCGATAGGTGGCACTGTACTAACGTCAAACGAATGGTCTGCCATCGTCATGGATAATGTATTGTGGTGAGATTCGGGGGATTCATGTTTACTGTTTGATATTAAAGGGATACAGTCAACAGTAAACGCATGACAATGAGTCAGATAAATTAATCTTCCATCGTCCTAAAGTGCCCTATGTTAAGGATAGACTAGGCGCTTAGTAGTATATTAAAGCGCCCTTGGAAAGACCTTTGATATAGTCCTGAATATACTCTGTAGCCTCCTTTTTTTTTCCGGCCTATTTCTTCGTCGTAGTAAGTTTCCAATGTTTCTGTAATCTTCGTCACGTTGAAAACTAGCCATTTGGGAGTCCTCGAGCAAAAGTGATACTTTCTTTCCTAAACGTCGTCCAATCGTCTTCACATCCTTGCCACTCAACAACCATCCTTACGAGGTTAGATTCCCATAGCTTGCAGAATCTGCTTTGTGCGGCACATTGCCCTGTCACAGGAATGAATCGCAACCTACTACTATAAGAGCGGCAATTCGGACACAAACTCCAAAGATGCAAAATCTGCGACGAAGTACAGAACAGCTTATAACTACCTAGGAGGTTACGAAAGATCGCTACGATTGTGCGCCAGTAGAAAGGGAATTGTTTAGCTCTCTCTGAACGCCTGTGCGCACCTATGCTGAGACCATTTCGACCAGCGAAGTTGATTGCTCAATAGTATTGCCTCTCGACTATAAAGCTTTGTAATTGCAAGGTAAAATGGACATAAAACATACCACAGTATAAAATGGTGGGGCTTAATTTACACGTCTCTGCACAGTCTCTCAATAGGCATTATTTACGTTGTGAACTGTGTCTCCTGGTGCATTGGGTCGCTGTGTTCTTGGTTCGCCCTCGTTGCTTCGTTGGAAGCCCCTCCATTCGAGACACCAACGTGGCTAACCTCTCCTCCATCGCGTTCTGGAATCTGGCCGGATCGTGTCGGGGCCGCTGATTTTGTCTTAGGTGACCGTTGTCTCGACTTCTTAGTTGCTTTGGGGCTCTGACTGGACTCTGCGATATGGACGCTCCCTTTCTTACCGGTGGAGGGGCAGAGATCAGCGATCATGAGCACCACCATGAAGATGTTGATTATCGAGAGAAAACTAAATGTGCGGGTATATGCAAGCCAAAGGAGCGAGCATAATGCTCGTATGATTAATATGAAGGAGGTGTTAGAAAATGGAATTGGGCTCTTTCGTGTAGGATCGATCGAGTTCGCCGCGTTTTCAATCCATGCTGCCCAAGACGGTGTGCACATATAGAAGAACCGTAATATCCAACGGGCCCAGAAGTACGGCAAACGCACACGAGAAAAGTAATCAAAGTGGTCCTCCCGGCTTGGAGTCATAAAGGTTTGCCATCCTGCCCGAACACAGTCCGGGCAATAACCTTCTCCTGGAGTTCGTTCAACACATTTGGTGGCCATGCAAGTAAAAGAACTCGATGGATATTGCACAGCCATATTCAGTCGGTCAACCCAGAAGTCCTTGAGCTTGTAATCACCGTCGAATGGCTCTTTCTCTCTCAGCCACTGCGCCCAGGAGGCCAGCACGTTTGACCCAACTCCACGGTCTCCCCAGAAGTATTCTCTATGATTTTTACGACACTCACACTTGAATTGGTAGCGCAGGTTCTTGAGTTCAGCATGGACTAAACTTTCAAGTCGCACATAGTGCCTTATCTGAAAAGCAGGTTCTTTCCTTCCCTCCCAGTCTTTGAGATCGCATCTTGTTTTCTGATCGCCGATCCGCGTGTCGGCCCCTGATGATCTGCCAATCTTGTACCGCCCGGTCTGTGTCGATGGGTCATACAGAATGTAAGCGTAACCTTCTGTCGGTTTCATCTCGTTCTCATTGGGTGATCGGTATAAGACATTCATAACATCTCTTATAATGTCCTCGGTTGTTCTTGGGTTCGACGAGGGTTCTGGCGTCAATTCTCTGTTGCCTGAACCGCCATCAGATATCTCGGTTGGTGGAGTGTCAGGCTGGCCAGGGGAAGAAAATGTGGAATTGGATATTTCTGTCTCATCGCCAGGCAACACTGTTAGGCTGCTGTCATCCGGTGCACTTGACGGAGATGCAGTAGAATTTCTCATTTCTAGAAGCCTATTCGGTGAGTCACCAGTTTCACGATCCGAAGTGACTGGGTTCGCTGCGCCTCGTCGGTTACGGGCAGCCCTCTTCGTGGATCCCCGGGTCTTCTCCTCGGGGGTGACTGAAGAGCTGGCAGGTCTACTTTCAGGCGAGCATGACTCTAGGAGCCGCCTTTGTGGGTTTTGGTGTAACTTATTGTCGGGCACCTGGGAGAGGTACGCTTGTATCGTTTGATCTCTGGATGACTGAGTGACATTCCCAACTTTGATCCTCCCCTTCTCCACTCTCGCCGGTAGCTTGTTTCGAGTTGTTGCGCGCCTAGCAGCAGGGGAAGGGCTGCCATCCACTGCCGGAATGCCATCGCCATCGTCGTCAGAGAGTAACACACTGTCAGGGGTTTCAAAAGATGGTGCCACATGCGACTTTTCTCTCTGTGGCGTGTGTTGGCCATTGTTGGAAGCCGCAGCAAAGAGAGCAGGTCTGGGAGACATCGGAGTAGGTACTGTACTATACGACGACAGCTGGCGACTATGAATATAGAATCTAAGTATTGTACATCATTCCAGTGATGAGTGAGTCTTTATAATTAGTATTTTACAAGATTAAAGAAGGGGCTGGAGAGAGAGGGGGGGGTCATTACCCCAGGCACTCATCCGGGCAGTGCCGTCTGTCTGATGCCCCCAAAGGCCGCACCGCCACGGACTTTTTGCAAAAGGCCAATGGTTATACCATGTTATGAATATCCAGTGCTACTTTGAACATGGGTGTTCGCATCACGCGAGTCAGTTAGCTACAGTAGTCCAGACGCTGGTTGCATAAACCTGCAGGGATGACATTCCTGCCTTCCCCGCTTTGGCGGCAGTAGGCGCTAGAGATGTGGCTGATGTCGCGAGGCTTCTAAAAAAGGCACAATTCCCTCTGTGCACACCATTTGTACCTAGTCTAGTGTTCAGGGGGGACGTTCGAATCTAAGCCTTCCCAGGAAGTCAATTCCGTTCTGCCTCGGGAGTGGTTTTTCTCAGCCTGATCTCTCCAACTTCGCTTCCGGGATTTGAGCCCGTTCTGAACCACCATT